AAAAGTTATTTACATATTTGGATACAATCATACTGCACCAGAACCTGAGATCATAAAAGCTCCTAGTCCAGCATTTTCTGGGTACCTCATGCAGCCACAGTCACTTTTACCCAAATCTGGCAAAACATAGATTTAAGCAGTTCTATATACATTCCAAGAGGAATTCCCTTCCTTATTTAATCTCAGTGAGTCTTAGTTCTGAAGAAGGCACTCTTCCTTCACCTCTTTCACCTCTAACTTTTCTAACCATCAGGAACACAAGAGAAAGTAGACCTCATATTTGAGTGGAACAAATTCCTATTGAACATTGCCAATCTGAATAAAGAGTTAATGAGGTACTCAATGCACTTGGGAGGAAAAAGAACTTTTAGTTATATCAATCTCAATGTGCAATTATAATAACTTGCCATACGAATAACATCTCTAATCTACTCCCACCTACTAATTCATTCTCTCTCAGACATCCTTCATAAAAGTCAGTCCCTCAAATTTTATCATTCTTAGATAAACTATTAAAACCTTGACCCTCAAGTCCCACACTGTAACTTCTGTTTCCCTACCTGACAAGGTGTTTGTTCAGACTACCTACCAGCTAAATGACCTATAGGACTCTCTTAGGTCTGTCATAACAGGTAGAGACTGGCAATGTAGGCTCGGCCTTTTTCACAAATTGTAGCTTCTAGATCAGTACCCTGGAAAGGAATAATTGCACCCTGACCTGAAACATTTCAGTTCCAGTTGATCTAAGGTTCAATTTTTCTGTAGCCTAATACCTAAAATGTCATTTTTAGACTGAGTCATATATCCAAAATGTTGCTTCACTGATGTAGAAATATAGCCATTTAATATAGTGAACTTCAACAGGAAATGTTCGTATACACAACTATGGCTTCTTTTTAAACTAATAAGTGCTGTAAAAATACTTTTTCTAATGAAAATAAATTTGTTCATTTATTAATCTTTGTATATCCTAAACAACAAACACAATAATTAACACAAAGTAAGAAGTCAATGAATGCCTACTGCACCAATGACAAAACTATACTTCAAACCTAACCCATTCTGCATCTTAGCTCAATTACAACTTCACATTTGCAGGTGAAAAAAATTAGATCAGATTATCAGATAATAATCAGGTAACTGATTATAATCACTCTCATTCTCCTCTATAAGATAACCTTAATTCTCAAATACAAATTTTCTCCAATCCATATCTACTTCCTGCTGTGTTAAACTGTGGGCTTTAAAAAGATAACAAAATACATTCTTAGCAATTGCTTTATAGACATAAAAGGTAGCTTTAAAATGGGCAGATTTTCCATGGTAAGGGTTATCAGAAGAATGAAAGTCACAGTAAAACAGAGGCTAAACAGAACAAATCACTAGCTGATAATATTACCTCAACAAGGAGGATAAACATTTGTGGCTAAATAAACACTTTCTTTTTTTTTTTAGGAAATATAAAGCATTTTTTATTTTGGGTTTGTTTTTTTTTTTGGGGCAGCTTGCCAATACAGGTTAATATAAAGCTTTTTATATGTTTTTCTGCTTAATTAGAGGAAAACTGCTAATATATATATATATAAGAAATCAATAAATTTTATTTACTAATTCTATATTAACAAAATTGTGCTCCAAAGCAAAAGAGAAAAGCAAAAGAAGGTAGAAAAAAGTAGATGGAAACTATGGTTATATAAAATGTAAGTTTCATCCTCCTACTAAACTTCAATATCAATTTGAAGGGTAAAGTGGTATGACAAACTATTCTGATATCTAGCAAAACTTTGCTTTTCATTATACTGGTAAAGAGTTCCAAATCAAATAATTGATTTTTATTTGAAGTTGGTTAAAATAGTCAACAATGACTCTTCAAGTTACTCAATTATCCTCTAATCTTGGATGGGATTTTTTAACACTTTTAATCCCCACCTTCCATTAACAGAGATGATATTAACAGAAGAAATGAGAGATCAATAGATCTTTAACATTAACAGAGATGATAAAATCTTATTAATATGCAACAACCTGTAAAACTAGTTTGAAAAAAATATAAAAATATTTTATAATTTGAAGTTTTATAAAATTTTTTATGTGACAATAACAGCTAACATTTATTGAGCGCTTACTATGAGCCAGGCACTGTGCTAAGCGCTTTAAAAGTATTACAATACTTAAAAAAAAATAGAATCTTGTATATGGAAAACGCATTGAACTGTGAGTCAAAAATCTAGATTCTATACCCAGCCTAAACTAAAAGAAAAGAAGAAATATTTGCTAAACAAGAACATTTCACGAACGCTAAGTAATGGGTTTACATTAATAAACAGGCCAAAAACACAAACCAAAATAACAATCTACCCAACCAACAAAACAAAAAACATCCTTCCTCTAATTGAAAAGAAGAGAATGCCTACTTTTAATCTGTTTAGCAAATTCTTCAAAAACACTGCAAAGGAATATACAGATACAAAAGATGTCAAAATAAATTTCAATCTATACTATATCCAATAATACCAAATTTAGAATTAATAGGGGCTGAAATACCGTTTTGCAATGTAAGTAAAATAAAGAAAACTCTGAAAATTAAATATCTTTCCTTTTAAACCCTATAATAAACCCACAAGGGCTGCATTAGTTGTTCTTTATTTGGTAGTCATTTATTTTTCACTTTAAATAAAGTGTCCCAGAATAAATATAAAATTCTTACTTTGTTGCCCGTATAAACTTGCCCCAAACTGAGACAGCTGACCTGATGTAGATGGTGATGCCAGCATCTAGAAACAAATTAATTATATTAGAGCATAAAGAAAGAACACAGAGCATTGCATTTACACTTTACAAGTCTGTACAACATACCATAAATATGAGAGTCCAAACTACATTTCTCATTCTTCAGAAAAACATAAATCACACATTACATAATTCTATGCTATTAAGAGAATATCACAATTAGATGAAACCAATCTTTGCAAATGAAATTAATTTTTTATACTACACAAGTTTTTAAAAGTAGCACTAAATTAAATTACAGCAACACTATTACTTCACTTTAAAAAGTCAGCTCTATAAGTTTATAAAATTACTTGATTCTTAGATAATATTAAGCTAAATTCTAAATTCAGTTTATTATCTAAATAGAGAAGTTTTGTACTTTGTAAGAATATTTCCTGATTTTTATACAAATAATTGACGTATATCAAATGGGTAGGAAAACTTAATAAATATACACATAACCATATAATAAATGAAGAGATGATACAATAGCAAAGTGTAAGTATAAAATACTTACAAAAATATACAGACATGGTATATAATCTATTAGTGAGTGACATGAATTTCATGGCACTTGCATAATACCTTTGAATTTATTGCATCAATGTCTTTTTTTCCCTAGTAGAGTATAAATTCTCTGAAGGTATGTTATATTCATGGAACATACTATACTCATTTTTATATCTCCTCACTTATTATTAAATAAGACATGGGCTATGTCATCAGGGGCTTCTAATCTAGTGGGGAAAGAGAATGAATTATACAACTAATTATACTCTAAGGCACAGCGTGACAAATGCTCTAAAAGAAGTACAAAGCATCACTGGAGGAGGATAATTCTGCACAGGAGAAAAGCATCAGGAATACTTTGTGGAGTGATAAAATTTGCTATGGGTACAGATAAAGGGTCTTCCAGGCAGAGAATATGCAATGAGATTATTGTAATAAAGGTTAGTGACATGATTAGAAAACAAAATAAGGAACAGTGGTGACTGGATAATAAGAGTAATTTTAAAAAAAGATAAAGTTTACCCCTATTGGGACACAGAAGAATAGGAAATAAAAAGAGTATGTTGGGACCAGATTGCAAACGGTCTTCTTAAATGTCATACAAAGATGGCTACCAGCTATGGCAAGAAAAAGAAAAAATAATATTAAGCAAGGAAGTGACATGATCAAAATGTACTTTGGGAAGATAATTCTAATAGGAAAAATGGATGGAAATGGAAAATGGTGAGATATGACACTAGAACAGCAGAAATGGGACTGCAAGTGAGAAGCATTCTGGTGGTAGAAGTAACAGCATTTTATGCCCTGTTGAACTAGATAGGGTATAGGAAAAAAGCAGACAAGTGGAGAACCACAAGAAAGAGAACTATTAGAGGGTCCTCTGTGGTTTCCAGGGAAGGAAAAGCATTCCAACACTGACCAAGTGTTGAAACATTTGGAGAGGAGAAACATTTAAACGATGGAGGTTTTACAATATACATTTCATGCTATTTTCATGTCAAAATTCTAAATTGTTTCAATCATTCTCAAGTTGACAAAATTTTTTATACAACAGTAGTTTTAAACCAATGATACACATCAGACTCTCCTGAGGTAATGTTGAGTTACACACCACTCTAAAAACAGCAGTATTTACAATACAGCAATGAATTTTCTTTAAAAAGCATCAAACCTTACAAACCTTCTCAAATCCAGAGCGTGTGCAATATAGACAATTAAACTAACATTCAGACTATACATTTTTTATCAAGTATAATCCAATAGATCAAAAGATGCCTGATCAAGTTCCCTTCTTAGATATTATAGTCATTACTGTTACCACATGAACTGGAAATATTTTATAAGTATATTAAATGTTCATTTCCAAAGTACAATAATAAGATCAGTGGAGATGTATAATACTTACTAAAGCTTTAGTTGGTGACAAAATGTAAAACGTTTACATAAAATGCTTAAGAATCATGATTTTCTGTTATCATTACAAGCTATAAATGAAAGAAAGTAGCTGTTTCTTAAGGCTTCAAATGTAAGATGTTGGCCAATATGAGTACAAGACTTAGAATGATCTATAATGTGAATATTTTTGAACAGACCACTTAAAACTTTACTTTTCCCAGAAATGTATGTTTATTGAATACTGAACTCCAAAGGACAGACAACTTAGTCCACTTTCTCACAAAGGTAATAAATCCACAAATGAGTTACAGGTGTGCCAAGACCAACCCTCACAGCATGGGAGGAGGGAGTGAGTAGAGAAGGGAGGCACAGCATAAAGGTAGAGAGGCTACGGCTCCCTATGCCTAGAACAGCAGGATGATCCATTTACCACAGCGTATAGTATTAAATATCATTTTGTCTATGTGCCACTACATGAAGGTTATTAAACACTGCTTTACAGAAAATCAAAGTAGTTTAACATTAAATTTAATAGTATACAACCTTCAACACATCCATGTAAAATAAGCGGTAATCCGCTATATAGACAGATGTTAAAATTACAGCCTCAAAATGTGTGAAAAATGAAAATATATTTCTTTTTTTTTTTTTCTGTCTTTTTTCGTGACCGGTAAGGGGATCGCAACCCTTGGTGCGGTGTCGCCTGCACCGCGCTCAACCAGTGAGCACACCGGCCATCCCCATATAGGATCCAAACCCACGGCGGGAGCGCCGCTGCGCTCCCAAGCGCTGCACTCTCCCGAGTGCGCCACAGGGCCGGCCCGAAAATATATTTCTTATAAAATTTATCCCTAATGATATGTATTTTTAAATTCTGAAAGTATGTTTCATAAAATAAATTAGTGCTAAAAATAAATTTAACACACACTGAAGGAATGTGAATGGGACAGAAGTGTTATTAATGAGAACAAAGAAAATGCATAAGAAACGTAATGTGGCACAGCAACTATTACTCTTGACAGACAACAGAAAATTTATATATTTTTTTAAATGCTGGAAGTTAACAACATAAAGGTGAATTTCTTAAAAAAACAAAATTTTAGATCAAGAGAAACATTACAATAGGGAATGCAACGTAAGTAGAAAGAGTACATACAGCTTTGGAGTTGGAAAATAATCTGGGTTTGAATCCTGGTTCTGCCACTTACATATGGGACAGTCGAGCCTCAGTTTCCTTCCTGTAAGATGAAAATAACACTACCTACCTCACAGAGTTGAAGTGATTAAATGAGATAAGATATGGCACATAGTAAGTGCTCAACAAATGGTAGCAGCAGCTGCTAAAAAAATCATTGTACAATATACTTAAAGCTATGGCGATAACATAATTCCTAGTATTATATTATTCCAAGACAAAAACAAGAAATGAATTTTGACTTTTGACTATACTATATCCATAAAAAGAAAAAATCATAAAGGGAAAGGAAGAGAGCGTGTGTATGTACCTACACATAAGAGTTCTAGATCTAGACCGAATCTGAGGAACATTATAAAATTAAAAACAGGATAATAAAACAATAAAACCAATAAAATCAGAATGAAATCTAGCTAACAGGCACAAAAAGAAAGACAATAAGAGGATAATACATTAAAAAGAACAAAAGAGGAAAGGAACAAGGGAGGAGGTAGATAGAAAAATAAAATGGTCAATAAGTCGCTAGTAGCTTATGAATCATATAACAATAAAATATGAGTTTACTAGTTATTTCAAGTAATTTCCAGCAAAATATTCTGAAGCTTATATAAAGAACATTTTAAAAAATAGTGAAATATTCAATGTAACTAATTCCTTAGTATTTAACACTTAAGATTCAATTTTTTTACTAAAAAGAAGTATGGCACTGAACATCTTTATATTATATTCTGAATTTCAGGTTAGAGCCAAAGTAAAAATTTATAGAAAGACATATGATTGATTCAAGGAATGTTAGATATGTATGGCTAAAATGTTTTCTATAGTCTTTATTAATTACACTTCCACAGTAGTCACTTCAATCCTCTCTCTTAAACACTGGCTATTCTCCCATTTAAAAAAACGAAAAAAGCAACAAAAAAAAAACCTCCTTGCTAGTATGATAGGAATAAAATAGTATTTTCTCACTATTTGGATTATATATATATACAGAGAGACAGATATATATATCTGTACACACACCTCTCTTTTACAATGTTATCTTTAAAATACTGAGTTTAAAGATTATGTGAATGTAGATTAATTTAAGAGGTTTTACAAAATTCCTTCAAATGGTTTGACATTTAATTCCAATTTCTCTAGAGTATAGAGGTTTTACAAAATTCCTTCAAATGGTTTGACATTTAATTCCAATTTCTCTAGAGTATACTCTGGCTTACTTATATTTACATTACATTTAAACCTATCAGGTTATCATTGCCATATAAAAATGTGCTACATTTATATACAATATATTTTCTTTTAAGTTTTTAAGATGATTTTTGAGTTAAGATAATCACATCATCTGCAAATAATGATAATTTTGTTATTTTTCAACATCAACTCCATTTTCTCCCCTCATTAACACTCTCTCACTGAGATGAGCTTACTTTTTCCTAAGCATTACTACAGGTTCTAAGAACATGGCAGATAGACAACATCCCTGCCCCTGTTAAGCTTAAATTCTAGTGGAGTAGAGAGGATAAACAACTGATAAACATGTACTTTCAGGTAGTGATAGATGCTACCAAGGCCACTGTATTAGTCTGTTTTCTGTCACTTATAACAGAATAACTGAAACTGGGTAATTTATAAAGAAATAAAATTTATTCCTCACAAGTCTGGAGGTTGGAAAGTGCAAGGTTCAGGGAACACACCTGGTGATGGCTTTCTTCTTGGTGGAGGCTCTCTACAGGGTCCTGTGGTGACACAGGATATCACATGGCAAGAATGGCAAGAGCACTTTAACACGCTCATTTGCTCTCCTTATAAAGAAAGCCACTCCTGTGACAACCCATCAAACCATTAATCCATCAATCCATGAATAAATCAATCCATTCAGGAGGGCACAGTCTTCACAATCCA